GCGTTCAGCTTTTCAGCTTCCGGATTCCCAGCTGTAATCTCATCGGCGTTGCTCCCCTCGTTCTCCTTTTTCTCTCTCCCCCCCTCTCTCTCTCTCTCTCTCTCTCTCTCTCTCTCGTCTTCACTGTGTAAGCAAGAGAGTAGAGGTTGTTAAACATTTTTCTTCTCTCTTAATTGTTTTGACTTGTGCCATCGGCATCCCGATTAGGGCCCATTGATTTCCTAGTGCTAAGTGCATTGATTTCTACATTTCTTATTGATCTCGGTTCTAAATCTACCCACACACAGTCTCAATGCACAAGGCGAGAAAGAGGGAGAGGAGGAATCTGTTACGTGTGTCATTGTTAGCCTCAAAAGGAGTTAAAAACTTGTTAGAAATACTCGGAAATGTGGCTCTAATGATATGGTTAGTCATTGGTTATTTAAGTTTGAGTAGTTAAATCAACTCAATTTACTTTGTGCATGGCATATTGACCTTTTAAAAAATGATACCTTAACACACAAATGATTGTTTTTTTAGGGCTGTCAAATGATTAATCGCATCCAAAATAAAAGTTTGTGTTTACATACTATATGTGGGTGCACTGTGTATAATTATTTTGTATATATATATAAATACACACACATGCATGTATATTTAAGAAAAAATATAATTTATATATACTGCCATACAAAGCAAAAAGGCAGTAACTGCAGTTTTGGTAAAGCATTAATTATTACAATTTTCATGACATTCAAGGCATCCTTTGTTATGTGACAAAACATCTTATCTTAAATGCGTGTCGTTTTAGAGAGAAATGGTAGTCGTTTGTACAGTAACTGCAAAAAACCCTAGCAGAAGTCATTTTTCTCAGTTCTGCACTCTGCGTAGTTACTGCCTTTTTGCTTTGTAGGGCAGTATAAATATTTATATATAATATAAATTATATATAAATCTATATACAGTATATACATGAAAATATATATACAAGCATGTATGTGTATTTATATATATATATATATATATATGTATAAAATAATTATATACAGTGCACCCGCATATAAACACAAACTTTTATTTTGGATGCGATTAATCGTTTGACAGCCCTAAAAATATAATTTTATAAATATTTTTGTGAACCATCAGTGAAATGGTTTCACTATTTAATTGTTGATTTATGAAATTTAACATCCATTTTTAATGCAAAAGTACAAATAATGGACATAGAAAAGTGCATGTTTACACCACCGCACACATGCTCAGAATAACATGCGTGCTTTAGCTTTTGCCTCTGCGTAGCCACGCACACACACACTCGGCACCCCATAAAGATCACAGACTGTATTGGGGCTTTATCCTCTTCCGCTGTAACGGTGGATCACATATTCAGCAGGCCTCTGACGGGGCAAAATCAGCTCCCCCTCTCAAGCTAGTCTGCGCACTACTGATAGCCCCGTCCATGTCATAGCATTAGGCCGCTGCAGGCCGCTGCGGGCGAGACACATCGCAAGCACTTTGGGGGTCGATGTCTTTTACTAGCGCTGACTGCTGGATCTTCAGCTGCTGTTTCCCAAGTCTTTGATCGTGTTAAAGCTAGCATAGCGTGGAATGATGGTAGAATCTGTATGAAACGGAAAAGACTCTTTGTGGCGGGTCCTGTAAAGGATGCATTAATAAAAAAAAGGAAATAAAAAAAAATCTTGTTTGTGATTTTTAGCCCCCATAAGCAAATGTGTGAAATCGGAATATTGTAAGAGTGTTTGGAAGGCTATATGCAAGAAGGCAAAAGATGTAAGCAGCCTAGCGTGTAGGTCAAACTGTATCTGAGATTATAAAGCACATTTGTTGTGGTATGTTTCAAGTCATTATAATATTAACTTCATCTGTAATTGAATATCTTGTTCTTCTCCCTTCATGTTAAAGGGATAGTTCACTTTGAAATTAATTTTTGGTATGTTTTAGCTGAGCTTTGTTTCCACAGTAGTTTCAATTTTTTTATATTTTTAGGTCAAACCGTTCTTGTCTGTCAGTCATATAATGGAGACCTATGGGGTCCACCTAAAAGTGCATGCACAGACAAGTCCAGATTAAACATGATTTAATGACTCGTAAATGTAAGTACACATTAATGGCCTAAGACACGAAACGAGCGGTTTGTGTGAGAAAACGAACAGTACTTATATCGTTTTTACCTCTTGTAACCACAGCCACGTCCAAGTGATCTGAAGGCGCGGACGCTTTTTGGCTGTGGTTACAAGATGTAAAAACGATATAAATACTTTTCGTTTTCTCACACAAACCACTCGTTTAGTGTCTTAAGCCATCATACTTACATTTATGAGTCATTAAATCATGTTTAATTTGGACTTCTCTGTGCATGCTCTTTAAGGTGGACCCCATATACCTCCATTATATGACTAACAGACAAGAACAGTTTGACCTAAAAATATCAAAATTGAAAATACTGTGTGTGGAAACAAAGACACCCACATCTTGGATGCCCTTGAGGTAAGCTAAAACCTATCAAAAATTAATTTCAAAGTGAACTATCCCTTTAGGAGATGGAAGTGTATGCAAGAAATCTCATAAAGAACTACAAATCCCAACATTAGCTAGCATGCTATCTGTCAAGACGACAAGATCCATATGTCTATGTGTGATAAAGAGTAGACAACATTAGCACTGTGCAATTATTACCCAACTGCGTGTGTGTTAAAAGAGCTACGGCGCAGAGGATGGATTTGTATTAAGGGTATTGGCAGACTTGAGCTGGGTATTGACAATATGTCAGCACTGATCATTAGATCAGCTGAACAGAGAAAGTGTGTAAGTCCCGGCTTGAATCACTTCTAACTCCATCATTCAGGAATTGAACAGATGATGGCTAAAGCATAGAGCATTTTTACATCTTGTGAATGTGATTAAGGAATGTGTATGCTTAACGTGCTCAAAGACTGAGTTTAACATTATATTCTTATTTGTGTTGGAGCAATCCAGAGTTGTTTTTGGATCTGTCTGTGTTTGTGAGAAAGAATGATATTGTATTCCGTGTGCCGTGTGTGTGTGTGTAGGGTTGCACCACAGTGGGAATCTGTCCTATAGCCACAGTATTAGCTGCTTGTTACAGCAAGAGGGGGTGTTGATATAATTGTAAGCTGGTATTGATTGGGGCGCCTTGTTATTGATGAGAGAGAATTTAATTCGACCAACGCATTTGTCAACATGACATTGCCATTTAACGATGAACTCTTTCACTATCGCTGTCTGGTTCACCCACCCAGTCACACACAGGAGGAAGTTTCTTTTTTATGTGTGCACTGGGTAATGATTATTTCTATTGATCGCCAAGTTGTTTATTTTATTATCACAACAAGAACAACATAAATAGTGATAATGAGGCCATGAAATAATATTAATATCCGCCCCCAAATAAAAAATGCTGGGTTGCTTAACCCAATTTTGGCTCAAAAATGGAAAAACCCAAATGTTGGATTAAAAAATGCAATTTAACAGCTGGTTTTGTCGATATTCGACCCAAAATTGGTTTAAAACAACCCAATATTTTTTTTAGAGTGTTTACAGTGACTTTATTATTTTATACATATAGAGGTGCTTAAACTATTTTAACTGATATCTTTGTGTACATTTGCAATTGTAATGTTTTTTTCTGAAAGAAAAGAGTTTTCTGTGCATATTGATTTTTAGTTTTCTATTTTTTATTTTTTTTTAAATGATGACATGTCAGTCGTAATGGCTACTGGTGTTCAGGGACATACTGAGCTGACCATTGAATGTAACCAAATGGAAATGTCATATTTGGAAACTATGTTTCAGCCTGCACACCTTTCTTCCTTCTCGCGTTATAGACGCGCAAAACACACTATATTCTACAAGAAATAATTGCTTTTGTCTGGAAGGAGTTTGGATGGGGGGGTTCGCAGCGCGTGCCCTTTCAGGCGAGGGGGGTTCGTGAAGGACAACTTGTCGCTTCTTTTTTTTTTTTTTCCTTCTTCCGTCAACCCCCCCTCTCGCTCGTTGGACACGCGGATGTCATCTGTCAAATGGAGGGGGTGCTTGGGGACAATAAAGCTCAAGTAACCATTGTGAGGCTGTTGTGTTGCAGGAAAATATGATTTTTAACAAATAAAATAGTAGGCAATGGTATTTAAAAAAAAAATCAAATAGCTATTAATGCATCTTTTAAATCAAATATGAAAATGTAGGCTAGTTGCATTTTTTTTATCTGATGATAACCCTGTAATTGATATATATCAAATCTCTGACTTCGGATATAGTAGAATAGATAGACAGATAGATAGCCTAGATAGAGACAGGAAGATTGGGGCGAGTGTGCGTTTGGGGGTGGGGGATCAAGCGCTGCGCTTTCGATTTTTCCCGTATTGACTGCGATGTTTAGCGTATAGATTTTTCTATTTAAAAAAATCCATGTCGGCAATAATCTGGAGTGTAAGTGCGCGACATAGATTGTAGCTTTATTACTGACAGCATTCAGTGTGTCGGAAAGAGGGAATGAAAGGTAGAATCGGTGAGAGAGAAAGAGAGAGAGAGATACCCTAGACTAGCAATAGAACAAATGAAACTTTTGTGAGGTAGCGACAATCGGTTTCTATTTGTTGCTTATTCACAATGCAGCTTCGTTAATAATCACCATAACATATCAATGGCTTCTCCATAGGATGGTCGCTTAAATCGACCGTATCTCTTCCACAGACATATAGGCTACTTGCATGTAGATGAGGATATAATCACCTGATGTAAGCCACTCTGTGAATGTGTGTAAGCCTATCGATCAGCGGCCCACCGCGATCATCAGAGTCATCATAATGAAGAGTAATCAAGCGATCAATACGCAGGATAGCTTGCCTTATATGGGATTAGTAAAAAAAGGGAAGGGGAGAGGGGGAGGAATGGATGGAGGGAGAGAAAGGGGGGCGGGGGGAGTATAGCGGCTGCTCCGCTCGTTTCAGTGTTGCTTTCATACCGGGAGGCGGACAGAGCTCGCAAGCTACCGGGGTTCCCAGATAACGGGACTATCGTAACGGACACACACGCACACACAGACGGATGGTGGGACAGAGCCAAAGAGACGAATTCCGCTTAACGGGTACCGTGTTGTTTTCTTTTCGTTCAGTTTTAACATTTCGTGCCCAAGCAGTGTTGCTTATTTATTTCTTTATGTATCGATTGATTGCGTTTTAATTACTGGCTCGTGAGTGGAAGCGAAGGGAGAGCGCGTAGAGCCGCTGCGTAGCCTTACACGTACGTGACTACTTAAATATATTAAGCGATTATTTTATATTTTATACAAAAAAAAAAAATCATATGCTGCTTGAAATGCGTGCAAGGTGCGCGAGATAAACCACACAGTAGGAGAGCTAGAAACCAAATAGAGAAACCAAATATTCACGTTAAACCTTTGTAAACCGTTTTAAAGCCAGCAGCCGCGATTGATTGTAATGAACCAAATAGTTTTTGTACTAAAGTGAACACAATTTTGACTCGAGATTTGTTTAAAAAGCGAAACCAAAGTGGAACCAGATCGCGGCGCGCGCAAGGCCATTGTGACGTTTACCGGCCGCACACCTGGTCTCGCGCGGGATATGCAAAACCCAGGAAATCTTACGAGTTAAAAAGTTATAGTGACAACCAACGGTTCGACATTTGCTAGCGTATGTCTAAACGTCCTGTTATTCAAAGTTGCTGATTAGATTCACGGATTTGTCAGCTAAGCAATTGTCGAGTGACTACAAAAACACTTTTAATAGCTAGACGATATTAAGACCGCTTGAAAGATCCGGACTATCCGTCTGTGTGTCAGTCCGAGATAGAGCATCCCCGAGGAAGTAGTAATGACTGTGAGGCGTAATACCAAAAATGTAAAGATAGCTTGAGCAGTTTACTTACGTTAAACCAAATACTAACTGTTACCAAAAAGGAACAACCTCAAAACAGTCTACTTGACAAAAAAGCAACCAAAGATAAAGAAACTCAAGACAAGCGCCAAACACAAGAGACCATAGAAGAAAAGCCCAGACGACAACGGATCATGTTTGTTCCCTTGCCGGTGCCGTTAGTGTTTCAGAGAACCGCTCCTGATTTCAGCGCCTGGCGACTCAAGTCTCCGCTGCCTCTGCGCTCCGGTAACTCCGGTAAGAGAAACCTTTACCTTCTTCTGGTTAATAATGTCGAAAACAGCTTTACTTTCCCCCTTCAATATTAAGAAGATAAAAATAAATAAATGTGAAGTCGAAACACCTGTTCAGACCCAATCCATATTTTTTGTATTTCTTACAAAATAGCCTTAACGTTATATCCGTTTTTGTGTGTGTATCATTAAAATGTGCCATTTTGAGTGCGTAGCCTATTAATGAAGGCTAGAGGTGAAACGACGTCTGGCCATAATTGCCCTTGTTTGAATGGTTAGTCTCGGCCTCTTTGGGCTTCTTTCATGCTTCTGTCCTCCCCGTATCTGCTGCTCCATCTGCCGTCTGACTCTCTTCTCACGACCGGTTCAGGGAATATTCATGGTAATTTATCGATTCCGCCGAGATCGATACACGCAGACACTGGGGGGAAAAGGACAGAGCGAGTGTGTGAATTTAACGACAAGTCTAAGAATGATGAGAATGAATGTCACTTTATTTGTTGATGTTTTTGTCGATTTTAAGTGCTTTCACTTTAGGGTTAAATAACGCAATTAGCTTTATTTAATCTCAAATTAAAGTCTTCAACAACTAAGAAGAAAGCTTTGAAATGGCAGAAATAACTTTTATTTTTAGACTTTTAGTTAGACTTTACATTGTTGGATTCATGCAGTGTCTTTTCATTTTACAAATAAACAACACGTGCGATAATATAGGCTTAGCCTATTGGCTATTCAGTGAAGCTTCTTGTAGCCCAATTTAATTAACCAAGTTTCTGTGCAAATTATTAATATGTAGCCTAGTCTTTTTTTTTAGGTAATATTATACGTGTAACATGACTATGTAATGCGAAGCATTACCTGCTTTTTGTAGTTTTAGGCTAGTGAAAAGAAAGAACATTGTGCTGCATTAGTGAGGGGGGCGGGTACGCGCAACGTGTGCGCGCAACGTCTGGCATTCAACGAAGCGGAAATTTTCCAACCAGCAGATGTATTAAACGTATGCCACTTATAGATCATCTGTCACCTTGTGGCACATCCTCACACGGAAACAAGGAAATTTAAAACTAAATTTCTGGCTGTCTTTAACTTTAAGGGTATAGGCAACTCGAAAGTAGATATGCTAGACCTTATTGAGATTGGACGCCATATTTAGGCTATTTTTAATGTACTTTTTTGTTATTGAAAATGCGGTTGTGAGGGACAAACGGACCTAAAGTCTACCCCCCCCCCTGCTGTTTTGTTGTTGTTGTTGTGGGCAATCTGTAGAACGATTGGCGTCATAGTTAAAAATTAATAAAATACAACCAATTAAATAGAGTGTGTCCCTCACAGCCTTGTTTTCATGATCAAAAAGTGAATATTGGCGTCTGCCCTGAAAAAAGGTTTAGGCCTACACCTCTAGATATGAGAGTCTTTAATTACTGGCGCCTAAATGAGCAAAGAGCCAGACGTTAAGCCTTCCTCAGCTGCACCACATAATGGGCCCACATGGTGATGTGCTTTCTTGAAATGCAGGTAGTGTTAAAATTGGATTGGCTTGCTCGTTTGAGGCTGTTGGTTAGGATTTGGCTTTTTATGACAGAAGTAATTGGGATCGTAAAAGAAAGATGATTCTATTGGCTAGGACGTAGACATTCTTCAATTTACATGGGAAAAACAATGTTAAATTTATTTTGAACAGGTTAATGTGATTTTTTTTTTTCATGTTTTACTTGTATCGTCTAGTGTGTAACCTTGTGTCCAGTGTTTTCCGACACAGTTGTGTTTGTTTTGAAATAACATTATCACTCAATGTGTTAAATATATTATATATATTAGACTTTCCATGAAATTGGAAAAGTGTGTGGTTGCCGCATGTTTTGAAGACTAACCTTTTCGGATTTTAAAATAACGCCATAGGTTATACCTTTCAGTTCCTTGATAATATAAGACTCAAAATGGACACCAGGCGCCACAGCTGACATTAAATGCTGCAGAGGTCAGAGTGACAAGCAGAGCAGCCAGTGAGGATCTTTATGTTGGGTGAGGGAAAGTACATTTATGTTCAGCCTTACTTACAGATGATAGACACTATCAAGGGCATTGGTTCAAAGTTTTTACTAGATTTTTCCTGGCGATGACCATGAAGATATCTTACAGGTTTTACCCTGAGTACTTGCTGTAGAATCTTGGCGTCACTGAGATTTGGTTCTGTTGATTCCCCTAAGCCTTGGTTGTGAATGTAGCTAATAGAACCAATGCTCTTTATAGTGTCGAAAATAGATGTACATTTCCGTTCTTATCCTTATTGGCTGTTTTGCTTGTTAAATCAAGATGTACATTTTGGTCTAAAAGTCTGAGATGACATTTAAAATATGTTTTTTTTTAAATATATTTTTTTATTAAATTGCACCTGTTGAGAACTGTATACAACATTTGGCGATTTGGATATACAAAAAAAAAAAAACAAGTGGTCTGAAACTTTTGGACTTTTATTATGTGTTTTTAGCACTTGAGAGCGAATGCTTATAGAGATCCACCATCATCTGTTTAGGCCTCGTCATGTTGTTGTCCTTGTGCTGTGAGTAACATTGTTGCGTTGTTCTGTAACACTTTATTTTAGCATGCCTGTCACTTACACAGTTATTATATCAGTAATTATTAAATGTGCGTAATTACATGCTAATCCAAACCCCAACCCTATAGTACACAGTATAAAATGATATGATCAATAACTTATGACAACATAGGCTATGTTTTTATATCACTCTTAAAAATATTCAAGATTCAACAATGTTTTTTAAGCCAGTATGACTTTAATATCCAAGTTCATTGTACTTAATCATACCGTATCAAGGACACATTAAAAAAAGTGTAATCCATTGTTCTTTTTTTTTGTGCATTCTCTAAACCTTTTTCAGGGTCACTTTTATGGAATAATAGGTTTTTTGTGATTCTTATGCAATAAATATTTCCACAGCCCATATTCACCAGAAAATAGTTTTATGTTGAAGTGTAAACCCAGAAAGGGCGAGCTACTGTTAAAGAGAATTTAGGGGTCTGCTTGAGGTTAAAGGTCAAATGCAATCTGGTCACTCGACGTGGGTCTGTCTGCGCGGGCGAGCTGTGTTTACACTGATACAAATTTACAGTTTGATGCACCGTAAAGTGTTTTAACCTCAAACAGGTATTGATTAAGGAAGATCAGCCCTGCCGTCCTCAGCAAGAGAGAGCGCGTGTGTGTGTATAGATCGGATTTGAGCGGGAACGTCGGCGAGTCCCAGTGCTAACGTGATTGCGAATGACAAAATGTCCACCCGGGTTTGTTAGGGACATAATGGGGAATCAATAGACACAACAGAGATGTCAATACAACATGCTTTATTGCATTAAACCACCTCTCTCTTCCCCATCCCGACACCTAGGCTTGCTCTAACTCACACACGCATCAACACACACACATCCACTGGTTCGCGTGTTTTGTTTTTTTCTTTTTTGATGTTGCACTTACAGGAAACTGAAATCATTTGAAGTACTGCACTCATTGCACTAAGTATCTCTGGGCACATACACACATGCATTAAAACAAACGCACTCACACACGCACAGCAGTTCCCTGCTGAGAGCCTACCTTTCCGATCGGAGCCATCTCTGTCCCTCCATCCATCTCTCTCTCTCTCTCTCTCTTGAGTATCCATGGAGACATTCATAGGCCATTAAGCAGATGGTAATAAAGGGATGTAGGTAAACACTCTCTCCCCTGTGCCGGCCCTCACCTCTGCGATGGAGACCACCATAAGGACCACAGCCGACTAAATGGACCTCATTCGGACTCCAATACCCCATATCTGACAGGGCCAAGTGGTTTTTTTTCATGCTGTAGTGTGTGTTTGTGTTACCTGGTGTGTAGGTGAGGACGTATGCGTAATGATCGCTGGAGGGACAGTGTGTTGGCCGATTTCTGATAGCTCTTAACACACTGAGCGCTATTACGGTCCAACCATCTGAAATGGAATCCGGTGGTCATATTGTGCAGACGGAGCAAGACACGATGTCTATTTTCTCTCGATGGACCTTTATCAGACTCATAAACCAAATTACACGGTACGGCCATGTTAATACACTCTCGCTGGTCAACTGTGACCTGTCCATTTCTATGTCTCTATTGTTGGAAAACCAAGTGACACCAGTTATTTCTTCTTTAGAAACACAAAAGGAGAAGTTTTGAAGAACGTTCATGCTGCTTAATAAAAGTGGATGGTGACCAAGAACTGTAGAGGTTAAAGCGCCATAAGAACATCATGGAATTAGTCCATATGACTCTTCTGAAACCACATGCTGTCTTTGTGTGAGGAACAGCCTCAATTTGTGTTGCTTGACTGACAGCCACCAGACGTGGTCACCATTTATTTGAATTGTTTGGGAAAAAAGCAGCTTGGAGAGTATGATTGAAGAAAGTAATGGATTTTGAGTAATTGATGAATTTTCTTCACTTTTTTATTGAAGATTTATCAATGGTTCCATGAAGAACCTTTAAAGTCAATGGAACATTTGCATTGGATAAAACGTTCTTTATATTGGAAAAAGATTCTTCAGAATATCCAAATGTTCTACAGACTAAGAAAAATGGTTCTTTTAAGAACTGTTGGTTCTATTGGTTCTTCTATGGCAATTTTGCAAACCCCCCTTTTGGAACCTTGGGTGAATTTTTATTTTAAAACCCGAAACATAGTTTATGTATGAAATATATGGAAATGTATGTACTAGGGATGTCACGATTCGATACATATCACGATACGATATTATTGCGATACACTAAGAAATATGATAAAAGGTTAACAAAAAATGGTCTGTTGATTAAAATTCTCACTTTGGTATTACATTGTGGGTTTAAATGAATAGGTTTGGAATTGGTGCTGGTAACCTAAGGACAATAGAGACACTAGAATAACAATATTCATGATTCTGAAGCTGAAAATACAGAATTATTTTAGACGAATATGCTTGATCTTGACTAGATATATT